TTGCCGGACCTCAGTTGATCCCACTTTACGGAGTTCACCATAGAGATCACGGCTATGCTCTAATATCAGTTTGATGATGTTTTCCTTTCTGTTCACCCCGCGGGGGCTGGATTTAGTTCTCCCCACTATGCATTTCGCTCCTGGCGAATAGAAGTTGGATGCTAGGATTCTAGTGGCCATTGTACAATGATACTTCATACAAGACTTCTTAGAGGTACAGTACCTTTTGTGTAACTAAGTAACTGAAGAAGTTTCCAAAACGTAGGCTAAAGGTTCTAAGTGATTTGGAGATACGCGGTTATCGGAAACGGTTTTTGTTATATTTAGAACTTTGCGAAAATACTGTATAATTTAATGAACCTTCCACAACATGGTAGCTAACTGATGCCCTGTATGGTGACGTTCAAAGGAAATAATTGACTTATTTAGATCGGCAGAAACGGACTGGTCCTGAAGCGATATTACTTAATATTTCACAACCTGTCTAAAAATGGCTCAAAAGTAACATTTTAGAAAAGCCTGTATCTTTGTTCGATTTCTGTAAAAGTGAACCGCATTTGAGTAATGAAACAAAACTGCCTTTCTCGAAAATGCCAAACTTTATGGAAATCAAACAAAAATGTGTCTTTTTCATTTTTTCAGAGGTCAGAGGTTTTTCAAGGCATTTCGAGCTACCTTTATAGGGCTAGTTCCTCCCTGCCGATCTAAGTGCAATAATTATTTTCTGTGGACTGCATCATATGCGGCTTCAACTAGTTACTTTACCGTAAAAATTTTGGCGTCAAGTAGGTTGACCCTGCACAAGTTACATCATCTGAGAAAAAGTTAGCTACGAACATGTGCACTAGAGAAATTAAGCGGATCAAGTCAGTCAAACAGGTCCATACACATATTAAGATCGGCAGGCCGCTAGGAGTAGAGACATACGCGTATCGAAAGTATTTCTCTGTCATTGTTCTAAGTGCAACATCTATGATGTGTGAAATATGGCCCAATGATTAGCGAACAGGCAGAAAGACCGACGAAAATGGTGTTTCCTGATGTAAATGTCATATAACAACCAGAAAAATATCTCATTTTCGCGATTACAATACTTCCTCGCGAGTAGGCGTAGGAAGTAGACACGACTTCCATTGGCATCCTTAAGAGCCCTGTATCTCCAAAATTAAGCGATACTTCGAAAATGCTCAAACACAAGCGTCTTAGAATACGAAAGTGGTCCCAGAATTACCCGACCCACTGAAGAAAACAAAAATTCTGTAAAAAAATGTATTTATTTTTCAACATAATCTCCTTTGAGCTCTATACACTTTTCCCAGCGATGTTCAGTAAGTTCAATACCCTTTTTATACTAAGAACTGTCTTGCACCTCAAAATGGCCCTTGACTGCCGAAATCACTACTTCATCGTTGGAGAATCTTTGACCACTGAGCCATTTTTTCAAGTTTGGAAACAGAAAATAATCCGACGGGGATAAATCTTATAAATAGGGTACATGAGGTAGCAGTTCAAACTTTAATTCGTTAATTTTAGCCATTGCAATAACGGATTTGTGAACTGGTGCATTGTCTTGATGAAACAACACTTTCTTCTTAACCAAATGCTGTCGTTTTTGCTTGATTTCATCGCTCAAACGTTGCAATAAGTTCGCATAATACTCGCCGTTGATAGTTTTACCTTTTTCAAGATGAATGAAAATTATATCCGACGCGCATCCCAAAAAACCGACGCCATAACCTTGCCTGCAGATGAAACGGTCTTCGCCTTATTTGGAGCGGGTTGTCCCTTTTGAGTCTATTGTTTTGATTGTTCTTTTGTCTCGTGTGTGAAGTGATGGACCCATGTTTCATCCATGGTTATGAAACGACGCAAACATTCTGATTTGTTGTTCTGTTTTTGCTCGATTGTGAGCAATCGCGGCACCCATCCTGCACACAGCTTACTCATGTCCAAATTTTCAGATAATATGCGATGAACCGCACTTTTTGAAATGCCTACTATGTCTGCTAGTTCGCGCACTTTCAGTCAACGATCATTCAGTACCGCTTTGTGAATTTTCTTCACCATTTCTGGAGTCGTCACCTCATTTGGTCGACCACAGCGATGTTCGTCTTGGAAGCTCATACGGCCTCGTTTAAACTCTGCTACCCAATATTTTACTGTTGTAAACGAAGGAGCAGACTCACCCAGAGTAGAATCCAGTTCACTTTTTATATTGGTTGGGCTGAGGCCGTTGAAATAAAAGTATTGCACCACATAACGATTACCAATTTTCTCCATTTTTACAAATTCACTGAAAACGTTAAGTATTGATGGAAGCCAAACAAATACTAAACAACGTGGCGTCTTCAAATTTGACACATATGCCTTATAGGTTGCATACTTTGTAATACAATGATATTTTTCAAACAACTATCGCCATCTCTAGGTCAGGCCGGGAACTTCTGGGACCACCCTCGTATTCCACAGAATCACCACCCGAGTTTTCGTCCAACGTTTTGGTAACACCCTGTATACGTGGGATCTGTTAAATTGTTCAATCCAATCTATTGCGCTAGTCCTGTTCTGATACATCCTTGCATATTCACACATAATTTTGCTCGTGTTATCTGTGAGACGATAACGGTTACGGAATGGCCCTTATGGGGTCAACGGTACGTAAAGCATACACGTAGAGGGTTATTTAAATGGAACAGCCGACTGGAAAGATGATAAGAATATAGATAGACTGTTTGTGAATCCAAGCTTAACTCCGGATTTTTTGAGAAACAACTCGTTATTTAAATGCGGACTCAAGTATATCAACCACACCAAAGCTGCTATAAAAATACGAATTATTGAGAGACTTCCATGTTAAGCGTTGTCGATAGTGTGATTTCAAAAGTGAAGCCGTGATCACCTCCCAAAATCGTTTTTTTACCCTTGAGGCTGATGAGATCTTTCTCGGATGATTTTTATAGGAAATTAGAATCCTGAAGGTTTTCACAAAGACTCTATCGTATCCTGCAGTTTTTCGTGGACGCCTAAATGATTATAGAGCTTTTGATCCATCCGTTTTTGCTTGTTGAATTTCAGATTTACTGAGCGCATGATTTAGAGGTAGGAATTTTCTTTACCATATAACCTTCAACTTGTACAAGGCGAACGAACAATCGATGAATTGCGGAAGAAATTTTTACCAATATTTAAACAAACTCTAAGCTCTCTTCCATGATGCTATCGCGCTCTCAGCCTGCCAGACGATCGCTCTAGGTTTCTACTTCTCATTCCAACTTAATTACACTTTATAAATCGAAAACTGATCGGTATGACCTCTACTTGGCTTGTAGGATATTGAGAATCTAGAACAACCTGTTGAAAGACATTTACCCCAGTTTTACTAAGCAAAACTTGGATAAACACGATATCTCTATCTTTCACTTCCTAGACCACTGGCAAGCAAGTATTGTTTAGAAAAATACAAGGGCTAAACATTGGATGTTGAAGGTTGAAGGGGGTGCGAGGAGAGAATACGTCAATTTTATAATTTTCCAGCCTCGTATTTTTACGACCTTTTACACATATTTCATACTCTGCCTCGAATGCTGAGGTAGGACAGAAGATGATGCATGTATATGTGTTTGTAGCCCCGTACTGGGTTGCCACGATGCTGGGTGGTTGGTACCTACTGTCGGTAGGGCGGTAGGCTAGATCGCAATGTTGTCAAACCTGTGGGAACTATGGACTAATTGTATTTGAGCCTCTTTGACCGACATAGTTCATTCAATTCCTTTGTTATACATGTTCGTAACCAGCTTTGTTTTAGGCGGCACTAACTTGTGCAGAATATGATCCTTTGTGAACTGATGACAGCGTTGCGTAGGACATGCAGAGTCAACCAACTTGACGCTATTTTTTTCATAGCAGTCGCGTACCACCATACGTAGGCTTTAGCTTAGCGACCGGTCCAGAATAACGAAAAAAGCATTCATTTTTTTTAGTTCAAATAGAGAATGAAAGACTGACCAATCCTGTCTTTTTAAGTAAAACACAGTTCGTCTATCAACATTCCGTGTAATGATACAATAATTTAGCTATGTGCAAAGTTAGTTGTTCATTTTCGACGTTTTTATTTATAAAAATGTACATAGTATCATCTGATTTGAATTATTTACTATATCGATTTCCTTTGTTCAGTTTAGTTTCCGTAAAGTTATTATTTATTTAACTCGCTACTCCCAAAAATGGATTAGAACGTATATTCTAGGATAATCTTGCTTGGTGAAACATTTCAATTACCTTGACTTAAGGTTTCTGTGTTAAATTTGTTCCTAATGCCTCATGTTGTGAAGACGCCTCATTTGCCTGGTCATCTAAGAAAACCGGGAACACTGTTGAATATTGAAGGGCGAGGGAATTTTGTAATCGCGGAAAATTTCCAAGGTGAGTTTTATGAAAAGAACTGCTAGGATTTGGTTGAAATTTCTATACAGGGTTACTATGCTAAGGTCCAAAAAGCTTTCTAGTTTTTGAAAACTGATCCAGTAGCTGCAAAAAAATGACGACCAAAAAAATTAAAGAGGATCCTGATAATTTTTTTTTTAATTTGTTGGGTTCAGAATTGGGGGTTAGAGGTTATATGAGGGTGTGTCGCAATTTTTTGATGTTAGTATATGTATATATAACATGTTAGGCATATTTCACACATCATAGATTTCCCTGTACATTTGCCCTGACAACTCAGAACAATAGAGAAATGTTTTTGATATGAGCCGTTGCGTCTGCCCTATGACTTCACTGGCGGGCGTGCCGATCTCCATAAGTGTCCTGGCATGATTGAGGCTATGACGCGCTGCCGCGTCTGACGCAAATTTGTTTTTTCTAATTCGGGATAAGCCAAGCAGGTAGTTTCCAACTTGTCATCAGGAAACTTACCACAGTATTCTCCAAAGTGTTCGGCAAAAAAGGGATGCGGCTACCAAATGATCTTTCAATTGAAATCTGCCATTTGCAGAATTCACTATATTGTCGCATACTTCTAATGCGGCAACTCGGTGATCGTGACTGCTATTATCACTTCGTCTCCTTTTGTTGCCTTGGGGTTCAGTACAAATACCTTTGGCTTCATTTATTATGTCATCACTTTTATTTCCAACATCGATAATACATTTTTCAAAATTATCGATAGTCGTTTTAACTTGGGCTGGCTCGGTTTTTCTCTTCTGCAACTGGTTGAACAAAATGTCGACGTGAGGCATGACATGATTAAAAAGTGTCAACCAAAACACGAAAACAGAATCATTTTCATTAGTGAGGTTTTCTTCTATTTCTTCCATGCATTCAATGAGTGATTCTCTGTTCTCAAACACTACATTTATTGTTTGAATATTAAAATTCCAACGAGTTGTTGCTCCTTGGGGAATTTTTTTCCCCACAATTCTGTTCAGTACCTCTACGCGTTGAGGAGAATTATTAAAAAATCCCGGAATATCTTTCAAATCCCCAAAGAACACCCGAACTTGACCATTTGTGGAAGCAGCTTGGGACATAATCAGGTTTAACTGATGCGCATAGCAATGCACATAGTGAGCAAATGGATATCCTTGTTTAATTTTTGCCTGTACTCCAGCATTATGTCAGCTCATCACCGCGGCTCCATCATAGCTTTGTGAAATCAGTTTGTTAGGGAAATTTCCTATTAATGGGTCTACGATGCTCAAAATATGTCTTGTGAGAGTATCAGCGTCACATTTTCCGGGATTCATTTAATTCCAAAAACGTTCTACTGGTTCGCCGTTAAATACGTATCTGAAAATTGTTACCAGTTGGGTTTTCCCCGAAATGTCCGTTGTTTCATCTGCTATTATCGCCAAATACGAGGCTCTGTTAATCTGTTTTATTATTTCTTCATGGCAAACTTCAAGAATACAATCCAGTAGATCGTTTTGTATTTCTTTCTAAATTCCTTTAAATATTGAAGCATTTTTTATGTGTTCGCTTAAGGTTGTATCAAGCTCAGCAAAAAAATTAATCAGTCCACAAAATATTCGCGGGTTTTGGGAGGTCTCGGTTTCGTCGTGGCCCCCTAGAACCAATTCAAATGCTCCGCAAAATTTTATACCGAGCACCGACCGACCAATCAGATATGGTACTTCGCATTAGATACTCGTATGTACGGATCTGTATAACGTGCAGCACATGCTTATGCTTAAATCGCGCATTTGATTTTGTAGAGAGAGACAAAAGCAAGCGCGTGCGGCTTGTGTCGAAGTAGTAGTAGTCCTTTTCAAGTGACGGATCAATAATGTTACGCAGCGGTCGCGAAGAAACTGACAAGTACACAATTGGTCGATTATAATGATTTCTCAATACAAAACGGACTCGACGCCGTGCCTTGCGGCGGCAGCGTTGCCGGTGTTGTTTCTATTTGTGTGATAACATGGAAAATAAATAATGATCAAATTACTACTGCTTTTTTCTGTTAAGACAAAAGTTTTGGCAGTTCTGCAGCTCTGCAGAACTTAAGGGCCAGCCATGTGACTTGCTGCTTTCGTTCATCCGACCAAAGACAGACAACCATGGACAGCTGTTTCAAGCTTTATTGGCAGCTCATCTGTATGGTCCAGGCTTATTCTCTGAGACAAAGAACAAAAGCATAGCATCTATCCTCTATCCAGGACATACGCTCTATGGCGTTGTCTTATTTCGATAGGGTGCAGCTTGTGCTAAGCATAATCATCTACGAACTAATGACAGCGTTGCGTGGAAAATACAGAGTTAACCTACTTGAAGCCATTTTTTTTAATTTGAGCCCTCTTCATTACATAATATCAATGATTAACTTAACACATAATGCATTTCCGACAAACTTAATCAAATCGGATACAAACAATCTAGTGTCAACGTTGTCACTATGCTATGTTCAGAGAGATATTGTTGAATTGAAAATAGATAAGTTCGGTCTGATAATGTTCATCCGATGAATCATTAGGTTAACGCTAGAAATACCATAGTTATACATGTACTTGATTTTTAGATTATAAGGTTCGGCCTCTTCATAGCCTATCGTTTAACCAAGCTACTGTAAAATGGATCGTTATTGTTAATTTGATTTCAACCTAAGATATGTCAAGATCTACTTTTCAGCAAATGGTTTCACTTGTCTCATAAGCGAGTAACAAAACTACCTTAGCCATAAGGAACGGCTTATGAGTTTTTGGCGCCCTAGGCGAGTGTACTGATAGGCGACCCTCAAGGCAGTGATAAAACTTCATGATTTTCTGGCAAAATGATACCACATGTGTATAAATTAGCCTTTTTACTGACATTTCGGCCGCCACAATGACCCTGTCCAATATCCAGATGACGATGAAAATATATTTATCTGTATTCTATGAAACAGTTCACCTGTTTTGTTTTACTTCGAAACCACACAGTGTGTAGTGACAACAGCATGAACGGCATGTAGCATGCTGAGATCAAGCAAAACCATCGTTACACGACACCCTCGCTCCTTTCCCAGAAAATGCCAGATGACTTCGAGAACGGCACATAACAGCATGGGTTGGTTTCTTCCCGGGGCGGATTCAGGATTTCGTCTAGGGGGGGGGGGGGCGCAAACGATATTTGGGGCTGGTCATTTTTTAACCTCAGTGGAACTTCTAGAATTTATCCTACTATTGCTCCTTAAATCCATTGTGTTCTATCTGGTAAAGGCCAGCTTGAAAAAGAAACCATGGAAATTGCTCAGAAATCCTCAGAAAGCCAATATTTTATTATATGAGCACAAAATAAGTACGTAGCATTTATAATTAACTAGTATAATAATATTAAAGATTCAAACATAAAAATTGCATTGCTCTGTTAACCGACAAAAAAAATAAATAAAACATTCTGAGGGACCCCGAGACATATCCCAGTCCATTCCACACAAAACAATGTCTTTGATTGCGAAAACGAACAAGAGACCAAAAAATTCACATTATCGTATGGACGCTAGACAAGACAAAGAATAATAATAATAATAATAATAATTTATTAGTCCTGTATGATTACAGATGTGATATAGGATAAGTCAGTCAGAGCACGTCAAGAGCTAATAACAAATCATGTTAGTGTGGACGCACACATATTCGTACCACATATGGCATATTCCAAATATGGATACAGATAAATCAAATTAGCTTATTGATAAAATTTATAAATATAAAACATATATGTATATATAAAAAAGCGAAATAAAGGACAAACCATTAAGTGACATTCAAACAACAATGATCAAAATCAAACAAGACATTCACATATTAAAAATTCCTCAATAGAGTAAAAAGCTTTCTCCAGTAAAAACTGTTTGACTGTTCTTTTAAAAGTGTTCAGTGGTTGTGATTTCAAATTGTTGGGGAGTCTGTAGACCATCTATAGATCGCTTCTTGAGACCGTCGTCAGACTGCCTATAGGCAAATTGCGCAACGGGGTTTACTAGTATGTAATAAGCTTAAGGATTAAGACTCTGAACTGCCCATTAAACAACTCAAGTAAATGGTGCAAATACTGACACAATCAAGCACATCTATTATATCAGCAGGTGATAAAAATATCAATAGATGTAGCCATGACAGAAAGTAACACAATGGTGTTAGATTGCAAAAGCAAATGTCAGACGTCTAAGGGGGGGTCTCCCCTCTCTAAATCCGCCAGTGGTTTTTTCGTGATACAGAATCGTTCAGGCTAGTGTGGCAATAAATCAATTAAAATTTATTATCTTACATACTCGACATTACAAAGTTATTTTATTTTTCAAAATAGTTTACGGGACATAGCGACTCGAGGCCGTCCGTATGATGACCGTCTGCTCCTTTGCCTCAGTCAGTTTTTATTGGGCTCTCTGAAACAGAACAGTATTAAGGAGGTGGGTTGATAAGGGCCATTTTTCGCCCATAACACTCAAAAATAGAAAGTTCGATTCCAGACTATTGTTGAATTTATTTGTGAGCTTCAAGAAGCGTATTTTTTCATTATATAATATTTACGGTATAAATAATGTAATATGCTTCAGAAATTATTGCCAAGAAATAGAGTATTTAGCGCTTTTTGTGCATTTTAGTTGTTTTTCGATCTTTGAATCATGTTTTCCCTTCGAAGCGTTCCATAAACCACATTAACTTTAATGCTCGGTGAGTTTACTTATTATAGGCTTGTATATGAGTATTTATTTGTTTTGGTTCAGTAAGCGCATCAATCCAAAAATACCTAATATATGCTGCTTGAGAGTGTGGGTGACGCTTCAATCGCTGCGTGTTGAGACATGATTTTTCGCGCTCGAAAAGTATTTACATAGTAAAGGTATAGAAACTATGCTCTGCTGTCGCGTTCAACATTTATTGAAAAACTTTTATAAAGCAATAATGCCTGGATGCCAGTTTGATTGTTGTAAAGCGTGGCGAAAAACAAACTGATTTCCGTAGCTGCTCGAACAAAAACATTATAGCAATAAATCTAAAAACTGTGATCTGCAGATTGGTTCTAAGTTGTGTCCTAAATGCAGATCATATGCATTCCGCGTGGCTCAATCTCAAAAGACTCCTACTTCATCTTCTGCAAGGACAACAAGAGTTCTTACTTCAACAAGTACCTCTGATGATACTGAAGATGGTCTGATAGTGATTCGAATGAAGAAGACGAGGAAGAAGATTAGTAAAAAATATATTAAGTGTATGAAAATTGATTATCTTTTATTATTGTTTAATAAACGTACATAACATTCCGATAATTATTTAATTTATGCATACCTCGAATTTAAGTTTTCATTTGAAATAAGTATGTTTTCTTCTTTGTTATGGAGTATACTTTTCATAAATATATACGTATGTCATATCTATTCGCTGATGGGCGAAAAATGGCTCTTATCAGCCCACCTCCTTTATTTGCTACGGTCAGAGAAATTCCACCTCCAATCCTTGTGGAGAGAGGGTTGCAAGACATTGTGTTGTTCTTTCCTTTGATACCGTGGCTGCTGAAGGGCTAAGTGGACCGGTATGTCTGTGATTGGTACTGTACAGTAATGAAGAAAAGGAAAATAACACATGTCACGACAGATACATATAAAATATGTTCCCATTTTCATTAATTTGTACTTTGAAAAAGGTCACCCTGTTGGCCGAAACGTGAGTACAAAGTAATTTATACATATGTAGACTAAGTCGGCCATTCAATTATGGAGTTC